CCCCAAGAGATTTCGGCTCACTACAGTCAGGATCCGGGCAGAAAACAAACATTTTAGTTTTGGAGCAAAAATGGTCCAAATCTGCAAAGTTTTCCATATCCGCGGTCATCAAAAATACTGATTTTGGGCTAAAAAATCCAACTTCACGAAACTAAGTCAAATGTTCACACAAGGTGTGTAGATGCCAGCAATGAATCCCCAAGAGATTTCGGCTCACTACAGTCAGGATTCGGGCAGAAAACAAACATTTCAGTTTTTGAGCAAAAATGGTCCAAATCTGCAAAGTTTTCCATATCCGCGGTCATCAAAAATACTGATTTTGGGCTAAAAAATCCAACTTCACGAAACTAAGTCAAATGTTCACACAAGGTGTGTAGATGCCAGCAATGAATCCCCAAGAGATTTCGGCTCACTACAGTCAGGATCCGGGCAGAAAACAAACATTTTAGTTTTGAGCAAAAATGGTCCAAATCTGCAAAGTTTTCCATATCCGCGGTCATCAAAAATACTGATTTTGGGCTAAAAAATCCAACTTCACGAAACTAAGTCAAATGTTCACACAAGGTGTGTAGATGCCAGCAATGAATCCCCAAGAGATTTCGGCTCACTACAGTCAGGATTCGGGCAGAAAACAAACATTTCAGTTTTTGAGCAAAAATGGTCCAAATCTGCAAAGTTTTCCATATCCGCGGTCATCAAAAATACTGATTTTGGGCCAACAAATCCAACTTCACGAAACTAAGTCAAATGTTCACACAAGGTGTGTAGATGCCAGCAATGAATCCCCAAGAGATTTCGGCTCACTACAGTCAGGATTCGGGCAGAAAACAAACATTTCAGTTTTTGAGCAAAAATGGTCCAAATCTGCAAAGTTTTCCATATCCGCGGTCATCAAAAATACTGATTTTGGGCTAAAAAATCCAACTTCACGAAACTAAGTCAAATGTTCACACAAGGTGTGTAGATGCCAGCAATGAATCCCCAAGAGATTTCGGCTCACTACAGTCAGGATTCGGGCAGAAAACAAACATTTTAGTTTTTGAGCAAAAATGGTCCAAATCTGCAAAGTTTTCCATATCCGCGGTCATCAAAAATACTGATTTTGGGCCAACAAATCCAACTTCACGAAACTAAGTCAAATGTTCACACAAGTTGTGTAGATGCCAGCAATGAATCCCCAAGAGATTTCGGCTCACTACAGTCAGGATCCGGGCAGAAAACAAACATTTTAGTTTTTGAGCAAAAATGGTCCAAATCTGCAAAGTTTTCCATATCCGCGGTCATCAAAAATACTGATTTTGGGCTAAAAAATCCAACTTCACGAAACTAAGTCAAATGTTCACACAAGGTGTGTAGATGCCAGCAATGAATCCCCAAGAGATTTCGGCTCACTACAGTCAGGATCCGGGCAGAAAACAAACATTTCAGTTTTTGAGCAAAAATGGTCCAAATCTGCAAAGTTTTCCATATCCGCGGTCATCAAAAATACTGATTTTGGGCCAACAAATCCAACTTCACGAAACTAAGTCAAATGTTCACACAAGGTGTGTAGATGCCAGCAATGAATCCCCAAGAGATTTCGGCTCACTACAGTCAGGATCCGGGCAGAAAACAAACATTTTAGTTTTTGAGCAAAAATGGTCCAAATCTGCAAAGTTTTCCATATCCGCGGTCATCAAAAATACTGATTTTGGGCTAAAAAATCCAACTTCACGAAACTAAGTCAAATGTTCACACAAGGTGTGTAGATGCCAGCAATGAATCCCCAAGAGATTTCGGCTCACTACAGTCAGGATTCGGGCAGAAAACAAACATTTCAGTTTTTGAGCAAAAATGGTCCAAATCTGCAAAGTTTTCCATATCCGCGGTCATCAAAAATACTGATTTTGGGCCAACAAATCCAACTTCACGAAACTAAGTCAAATGTTCACACAAGGTGTGTAGATGCCAGCAATGAATCCCCAAGAGATTTCGGCTCACTACAGTCAGGATCCGGGCAGAAAACAAACATTTTAGTTTTTGAGCAAAAATGGTCCAAATCTGCAAAGTTTTCCATATCCGCGGTCATCAAAAATACTGATTTTGGGCTAAAAAATCCAACTTCACGAAACTAAGTCAAATGTTCACACAAGGTGTGTAGATGCCAGCAATGAATCCCCAAGAGATTTCGGCTCACTACAGTCAGGATTCGGGCAGAAAACAAACATTTCAGTTTTTGAGCAAAAATGGTCCAAATCTGCAAAGTTTTCCATATCCGCGGTCATCAAAAATACTGATTGTGGGCCAACAAATCCAACTTCACGAAAATTTGAATTATTCTACTTTCATTGCCTTTGGTCAAATTATAACATTTTTACGTTGGGACACGTTTTTATATCTAAATTCCAACACGAAATTACAGGAAAAGTAGATGTCTGAATGGGGCTTATATGAAGAAACAGTCAGGTTGCAACATTCTTTCCACCCCCAGTATTTTTTTCATAACCACGCCCATCTCACCAGATTCTCGGAAAATATAACTGAAGGAATTTCTTCTCTAAACACTCAGGTTCCAGTGGTGTTTTCAACAGTTCATCAACGTCAGAAGTATCTACAGTAATTCTGTCACTCCTACCTAACTTTTGACGGCCAAATTTTTACATTTTCAGGCCATTATTGGCAAACTTACTTCGACTGTTGTGACGTCTGTCGAAAGTCCTCCACCATTTTGCCCGGCGCCAATTATTACGAAGGTGCAAAGAACCACGTGAGATTGGCATTGTAAACAAAAGCGCATTGTCAAACTTAGGTGGCGCTCTTCACAATTAACGGTGTCAAGTGCAACCTCGTTTACATGGTAGCAGACCAGTAAATAAACTTCCATAGACCCCAATGGTAAATGCTCCCACTTCAAAAATTCGGGAAAAATACTCACAACTCTCCAAGGTGTTCGAGACATACATCAAATTAAAGCTTATTTCATCATCTTTCATTTTCTTTTCAATTTTCGGGGGGTCAACTGATGACTTTTAGGAGAAATTTTCATCTGAAGATGATCACCCCTGAAAATAGTCCTGAAGCCCATCGCCATTTTGAAAAACGATGCCTACACTCCATTGCAAAATAGAGCGCTTTTAGGGTCCAAATTACATCAAAATTACACAGAACTGCACGCTCCCAGTCCTGTGCACGGCTTCCACCCAGATTTTTTACAAACCCTGAAGTTCATGGCCCACCGCATGCTCAAATACCGAAGATTTTGAGGGCATGCAAATCGTGATTTGGCCGGCGCAGGCAATTTCGGACCGATTTACTGGTCTGCACCCACATGGTGTTGAGCAGTACACCTTCACGCACCAGCCTCGACTCCATGGGCACGTGCGCGTTCCTTACACAAACCCCTGGCCGTGATGATGACGTAAGTGACGCTGATTGGCTATTCACAGCGTACTGCGCGCGCATTTCGAAGATTGCACGCCGGGCGCGCCCATATTGCGCTCGCGTGCTTTGCACCCGCTTAGAGTCTGGGTGCTGATAATTACCCGAGCCGGAGTCGAGGGTAATTATCAGCACCCAGTCTCTAAGCGGTCTTTAAACAGAGTGATAAATACTGACCGAGCACATATTTATTCCCATTCATAAATACCTTTTCGGTAAAAAAAAAATCAAATAATTAGTTCAAAAAATCCCGATTTTGTTCAACAAGTTCACTTCATGCTTTTTGAAACATCCCTCTAGCCAAATAATGGTTGCAATAATGAAAACTACGCAAATTTCTTTCAGTATTAGCGCTCCTTAACATTTTTACTCATAAATTTGTATTCATATTTTATTTTGAATCATGTTTCATGTAAAGCGTTCAAAGTGTAACAACCATGGTCAAGAGTTTTAAGAGGTGTTATTTTTTTTTATACATGTATTTTGATATTCAACGTCTGTGCTTATACACACATTCCTGTGAAGAGTGGATTAAGAAATAATGTGTATATTTTGATCTACAAAGAAATTCTTGTGAAAATTGTTTTAAGATTTGACGAGTGAAACTCTCACGAACAAACCAAAGACTTCTTTATTTAAAATTCATTTTTTGGAACAATTGTTTGAAGTGTAAGTGACTAGTTCAAAAGTGTTATCAATTTTTCAAATAAAAGGAAATTCACCTTTTTCAAGCAGACTACATGTATATCGGACTTCTTTTCCAAATCAATGAGATAAGGGCCTGAAGTGTGCCAGCATTTTGAATCAAGTGATTTAACCGCTTGAAGAGATTGTACCATTCATACCACATATGTAAATTGTGCAGTTTGCCTGAAATCAATCAAACAAAACGTTTGGATTTATGTGCAATTTCTACTCTACTGTCAATATGGTGTTATTATTCTGTTCAGAGTCTAATAAAAAGGCTAGACAGTGCTATTTTTAGACCATGTTTTACAGAACATGCACACAAACGCACATATTTGTTTTACATACGCTATGTGGACATTCCTTTGTTTTCGTGTAGTTAAGAAAACTTGGTACACAAAATAACTTTACTTAAACTGTGAAAACTCTGTCAACCCCAATTTTTTTTCCAGAGAGGGCGAAACAATATGTGGACACGGCTTAGTCCACAGAACGTCAACACAACCTGCATTATGTGGACATCTTTGTTCACATGTCCACACAGTGACTGTATCGGTTTTGTTTATGGTGTAAATCGAGGATTTTCTATTGTTCCTCTTCCCTTTTCCTTTGTTTATACTCAACTTTTTTGCAACCGCTCTCATTGGTTTTGTACATGTTTTCTACCCGAGGAGTCCTCCATTTGGTTCCTGTCCTCAATTCATCGATGATGTTGCACATGTTTGTCCTCGAATGTACACCATAAACAAACACTGTACATTCTAGTTTTCATGTGCAGAACACAGATGTGATGTTCAATGTCATTCACCAAAACACAATCTTTAAATCTGTACCACAACTAACAGCTGGGCACGGTGTTGAATAACTCAAAACGTCAAAATAGCTCGGGTAACAACTTGATGAATATCTTCAATTTAAATTATTTTATTTCAACTCAAAAATCAACAATCAATTACAATTACAAATATATAAATAAACTTTTTATGCTATTATTTACAACTATAATACATCACTTTTAATCTACAGTAAGGCACAGTTAGACACTGGATACTTTCAGTCAAAGAAAGCAGTATCATTAAGCATTTGCAGCGCTTTCTATACATGTGCAGAAAGTTGTGGCACAGAAAATGTGGGCGTACCCCTGATGACCGCTGTCATGGATTTTGTTGACCTGGACAAAAAAATAGGCCATTACAGTGGAAGGTCTGAATCATCAGAGACCCATGGGGAAACAGAGTGGTAGCTGAAAATAGTAACAGAATTCCAGCAACCTACTTGAAAAGGTAAACTTTAAAAAAGAAACTATACCATTGCGGTTCACCAATTGATGTTTAAACAGTTTGCTACATCTGTGATCTACATATTTGTCATTTTTGATGATCCTGTTAAAGATAGAGTAGACCGTTTACAGCCATCCAAAAAGTAACCGAGCAAATTATTTTGAAAAAGCTCACTTGGTTTAAAGATAGTAATGACACTAAACTCCCTGTGAAATTATTCCTTCTGGCATGCTGTCCTTTTGAAGAAAACAATGAAAGAAAGTCATTTCCAAAGATGTGTCAAGTGACACATTATTGGAATTTTTTTGCGAATCCGCCCCATTGCGTTCTAATTTGTGTAGTTGGTTTGCAAATTGACCTATCGCGGTAGAATTGCGTTGGAATCGCGTCAACGCAGCTTGTGAAATATTGTCCAATTAAGGAATATACAAATGGACGCGGAACACGCAAATTCTGAGACAAACAAAGCTTTTTGTACAAAAACTCCATAGGGTTGTCTAAGGGGCGTGGCTAACTCGCAAACGGCGATAGGTCAATTGTGCGAATCTGTGAATGAGAATCATGTCCTGAATTGATTTCGGGATTGTGTCATGGGAGGACACAATTCAAAATATGATACTCGGCAACTTTGGAATTGAAATCGAGACCCAGAATACTATGTTTATGTTATGTAATAAATGTTCTGTTTTCTCTAAATATACAGCATTCACAGAGCTAAAACTTCATCAGGTTTAGTTATTTAGCACCCATCTTTAGATCTTGAGCACTTGTTTGGTTCAAACAAACAAAATGCACAAATTACAAATGGTGTACTCTAGTAACTCTACCTTTAAGTTGACTGGTTATTGTGAAACAAACAGTTGTATTTTTGTTTGAGTAGAGAAACTGCTGAAGTTCCATATTAAATCTAGAAATCTGTAATTACTGAGGCTAAAAATTCCATGTGAAAAAAAACTGGTAATCTTTATTGTTCAATATCCTAACATTTGATCATGCACGTTAGTGTCATTTGCTGTTTTTAATGCATAAAATCTGTTAAAAAATTTGTTGCGATTTTAAATACAGAAACTTGCAGCACAACTATTTTGAGTACATTTTTCTCAATGTGAGGTTTGTCTTTACATAGTGGAATTGATAAACACTGTGAACAGAATTTTTTTTTCAAAAGTACAATGTAGAGATTGGGAAATTGCTCATACACACAACAAAGACAGATTTTTAAAAAATACTAATAATTTACATGCCAATTTGTTCTTCAAATTGTGGACTTTCAAATCCGCTATCCTGTCGTAGTAAATACTCTAACTTATCAGTAGATCTCAGCGTCCATTTCTTAGAACCAATGTTTGACATGGAAGGCAAGGTAGATGCCCCATTAAATTTCCTTGAGCCTGAAACACCGCTGAGCTTTGTTCGGGTATTTTCTAACTCAATTTTACTTTTTTTGGCAAAAGTTCCCCTAGGGGGCTCATCAAATCGGACGACTTTATCCAGCGGGAAATCCCGGGGGTTGTCGAGAGGGAAGTCCTGTATGGTACCCAGACTCGCAGGCAGGTCATTGTACACAGTGTCAAGGGAACCGCTCGAGATGTCTGTTGCTTTGTAAGGTCCTAGCGAAGGCAACTCAGTGTGTCTTGTGACTTGGAGCACTTGTCTGAGAGTCGGTGCGGAAACGGTCGCCAGCATCGCTGCCGTCTTTTCAGTCGGGGGTGGGACTTTCACCGGACCCTTCCTAGGCTCGGCACTTCTCTTGTGGTCTGTGATTGGTCGCTTGAAAGGGCTGTGCTGTGACACACTGCCGTCTCGGCCAATCGTAGAGGGCGTCTCATTTCTCCGCGATCGGACGGTGATGTTGGAGCTGGATTTGGAGGGGGCAGAGTAATTCTTGGTTGGAAACCTCAATCCGGGAGACCCATTGCCTGAAGACTCTGGGGAGCTTTCTCGTGACTTTGCGGTCACCCAGTTCCTGACAGAGTTGCTCGTGACATTCCTGTGTGTCGGTTCTGAGAATCCATCTTGGTTCTTTGAATGCTCCGTACTCTGAGCAGTAACAGGGGAGGAATCAGGAGAGCTTTCCCTGGATTTAAGAGTCACTGATCTACTGCTTGAGTTGGACACCACTTTTCTTGCACCACTGGATGAATTGTCTGGTGAGCTATCCCTAGATCTAGCAGACACACTCCCTGTTGATAATGAGGAAGTTGTGAGGGAAGGATTATCTTCTGTTCTGCCGTGGCTTTTGGAAGCCAGTCGCTCCGGTTTCGGATTGAACTCTCTGGGTTGAATGGGCAGCTTGCTGAGTGCGATTCCAGTCTCCATCTCGTCCCAAGAACTTCCCAAAGACGTGGGACCGAATTCATCAGATGATCTCCCGCTTCCGAGTCTGTCTGATGAGCTGTCGGGTGTTGAAGACGGCATTGCCTGATCATTTGCAGATTTTCTGAGACCAGAGGTAGAGTAGCTGGCGATCTTGTTAGAGGAGACATGCGGATGCCTTACCTTGGCTGGCAGGCCTTGAGACACGTCACTCTTGGGCTGGTGATGTTGTCTATCCTCAGTAACTGTCTCTGCCACGGCTGTTGATTTGTTTTTACCCGTGGCACTCTTGGCACTCTGGCTAGGACCTGGGTCTTTCTCTTGGCTCCTGGATGGGTCACCCTGTGCTGATGCCACCGGTTGTGGGAGCTTTGTAGCCAGCTGGTCCGGGGGAAGCTCCAAGGCCTTTGCCATGGCGGCAAGCTTGCTGGCCGTGGACTTGGCTTTGGTCTTGCCATTCCTGTCACAGACAAGAGGTAACAGGGAACTGTGAGACTTCGAACGATGGAAATTTCATGATAATGATTAATGTACACAGTCTTCAGTAAGCTAACTCTGGCAAGCTCAGTGGTCGAGAAGTTAAATGTGTACACTACTAACAGGTTTAGGGATCGAGCCTTAACTGAGCAAGCTTGTGATTTTTTTTTCTGATAAGCTCTCGGACAGCACTGAAGAGGCAAAGAAAAGTTAGGAAATGAAGCAGAAGTATTCAAGAACGCTCCTAATCCTTGATGGCTCCTCTATACAATAATGCCAAAAGGTTTTGAACAAGGCATCAAATCTTACCCTGTCTGATTCTGATCCTCTTCAAGGAACTTCTGTAGGCATTCTAGGTAGTATCTGCGTAGCTTCTTGGCCGTGTTGTGCCGTTCCTTCATGACTTCGCTGTGCACGGTGTGTCGACAGTTCTCTCTCATGTCATTCATTCGCTTCATTACGTCAACTGTTGCACACACAGCAAAACAAAGATGCGATATAGACTTTGGCTAATAGATTTGGCGTGAGGGGAATATATTCTAAATACTTGCTGATGTTTGATAGCTTTACTCGGCATTTCACTAACTAGGTAACACCAAAAAAGCTAAATAAATCAACTAGAGTAAAATTACTTGTCGATTTGGTGGAGCTGCTAAGCACAGACAATATTTGCTTAGCAAAAACAGGGTACCAGCCGTAATGTCATTGGATTTATATTGCTGGTGGCCAGATCCCGGCTGATTTTTGGCACCAAGGCAAATTATGGAGGACACCAATGTACATGAGGACACCAAAAAAGCAAAATAGTACTCCACCTTGTCTGTACAATCCAAGCTTGAAGAAAAAAGAAAAAAAAAGCCAAGAAAAAAAAAAAAAAACGCATCCCCGCATCAATTCCGGAACTTATGGTCTGACCAAAAATATTTTTTTTTGGCCTTACCCTCAGTTTACTCACCTTTGATTTTCTTGACCGTTCTGATGTAGTGAGCTTTAATTTCTTGCAAGGCTTCACTTGACACGCTGTCATCATTTTGCCCAACGGTCTGCAAAGAATAAAAAATCATCAAGCATTTCTTCACAGGAATCAGAATGCAGATGCTTACTTTAAACGGTATTGTAAAAAATGGAACTCCAAAGTACGGAGGGAAGCGACTTCTTGACTTGGATATGGTAAATAAAAGAAATGGATTGTCTGCTTAAAGTAAAAATTAAGAGAAAGTCGGATCAATTATCTCAAGAAATAAATATAAATTGTAGAAAGCCAAATGAGTTTTAAATTCTTTAGGTGTAAGTTTGAAATCTTTTTAAAGAATTAAGTAAAAACTGACAACTTTGCTAACCTGTGTTTCCGCATCAGCCATCTTCTCTCCGTCTCCTCTCTGCCGTCGGGCTGCTTGTAGCTCCTCCTCATATCTCCTCTGCATCCCGGCCATCTTGGCCTCCAAGGCCTCGACAGCGGCCGCGTTGGCCCCCGTCAGCCGCCCCTGTAGCTGCTCCAGCTCCCGTCGTAGGCCGTACTCCGTCTGTTTCAGCTCCCGGTCCGCGTCCTGGAGCTGCTCTCGCAGCGACTCGATCTCCTTCTCCAGTTTCTGCCTGGCGAGGGCGTGCTTGCGGCGGTGGCGTTCGGCCTGTCGCTGGTGGTCGCGGAGCTGGGCGGCGGAGTCGCTGAGCTGCTCTTGCAGGTCGTTGCGTTCTTGCTTCCAGATCTGCTCCTTGCGCTCAAGGATCTCGTCGCAAGCTTTCCTCAGTTCAGTATCGCAATTCTGTCGATGGTAAAGAAAAGGATTTAAAGCTATAGTCCATCATTTGCAGCCATCCGAAAAGTAACTGGTGTAATTACTGTTGAAAAACAAACTTGGTTGAAAGATAGTAAGGGAACTAAACTCCCTGTGAAATTATTCTTTCTGGGAAGCTGTCATTTTGAAGTAATCAACAAAAGAAGGCATTTCCAACGGTGATTCTTAAGAAGCACCATAGGAAAATTTAAATTAGTAGTTCGTTTTGTTATTCAGCGCAGCGCGCACAAGTATTGGAACGACGCACACGCGCGCGCGGTTGTTATAATTCGTCGGATCCGAGTGCGCGACGCCGCGTATAGCTGCAATTCAAAACAATTCAAAACATGATTCAGTAACTTTTGATTTGAAATTGAGATCTTAGAATGCTGCTTTTCTCGGAATGTACAGCTGAAGCTTAGCTGAAACTTCATCAGGTTAGTTGCTCAGTATCCTTCATTAGATTTTGAACACTTTTGTTGCTTCAAACGAACAAAATGCACTAATTACAAATGATGGACTATAGCTTTAAAGATGAAGGATTGCTCACAATCGTCTACTCTAAACATGGGTCGCTTGTCCTTTGATTCTAAGCAGGGGATGGGGAGCAATCTAGAGCAATGACATTTCCTAACTGGGGAGGGGGGGAATTAGGTTGGGGGAATTGGGTGGGGTGGGGGTTATTTGTGCACAGATCCTGCAGGATCATGTTTTTTATAAACAAATGTTCACTTTTTGCAATGTTCAATATATTGGCCTAATGTACTTCTCACACAAGTAGCCAAACAATTACTGAATTTCAAATTAGCAATGAACTGAGGGCATCTGTGCGCCCTTTTGTGTCGAGGCTGAAAAAGTCAAAGGTCTTCGATGTCCTGCAATGGCTCATCACATTTTCAGCTTTAATGCCAATTTCAAATTCATCTGCACATACACACAAGTGTTTTCGGAGGTTGTCATTCAATCTGACCTTGGACCACTGATCTCTCGCTGAGCGGACCGCCTCCTCTATTCCCCTCTCTAGCTCCGCCTCATATTGGGATCTCAGCTCTTCCTGATCAGCTTCAGTCTCGGCCGTCAGGGCAACCAAGGCAGCCTTCTGAGCATCCAGCATGTCTTGCTTCTCCTGCAAAAAACACATAACTAAAATTACATTTTTTCTCACTTTAAAAAAATAAAAAAATAATTTTTTTTTAAAAAAGTGGGAAAAAAATCACACATTTGGCACTGACGTGAGGCATGACAACACTTTCTTTTGGGATAAAAAGTTATTGTGTCCATCTAACTTTTTCAGCCTCACTCTTGCGGCAAGTTTGCTATGATAAGGAACCTTCCACAATTTTTCAAAAAAAACCAACCCTCATCACTTTGCAAAAATCAATGGCATCAAACCTATTGAAAAAGAATTGTGACTTGGTTCTTCCTTCTTGAATCCAGTAACTCCCTCCAATACACCTGGGGGATTGTAAGGACCTTTACTACAATGTATTACATTGTACTACATTGTATTACAATGTATTTATTCCCTGATAAATTCAGACAGCCATAGAGTGCTGGATGGTTTGGGCCAGTACAGGTGGAACATGGCCCAATTTCACGGCGCTGCTAAGCACAAAAATTTGCTTAGCATAAAAAAAATCTGGCTTATAAAGCAGGTTACCAGCCAAAAAAACTCCATGTGAAATATATTGCTTGTGATTAGTATTCAGCTTTTGTTCGCTTAGCATGAATATCACATGGAGTTTTGGCGGGTAACCTGCTTTTATAAGCCAGACTTTTATTGTGCTAAGCAAATTTTTGTGCTAAGCAGTGCCGTGAAATTGGGCCCTGGTAGGGCGGTTTGGGGCGGTTTGGGGCAGTACATGAAATAATGGATTTACCTTTTGCCATTGGTTCTGCGCCTCCTGTGCAGCTGGAACAGGTAGGGCGGTTTGGGGCGGTTTGGGGCAGTACATGAACTAATAGATTTACCTTTTGCCATTGGTCCTGTGCCTCCTGCAATGCCTTGTTGATTGCGTCTTGCCGTGAGTTGATTTCCTCATCCAGTCTGGACTGCCAATCATTGGATGCACGCTCCAAACGTTGACTCTGTGTTACAAATTAAACAGGGAAGAATGCAATGAATACAAAAGTGTGTAATACATTCATGTAAACATTTAGTCAACCTAATACAGACATTTTTAAAGACGGATTGTGAATTTAAATGACAATCACAAATATTTAATGACAAGTGCATTAAGTTGTGTCTAGAGTCTAAATTGATACAAAGCCTCATGCACAAAAACCACAAAATATCAAAGACAATATCAAAGAGCTTAGTAAACTATGACATAAATGAACAACAAATGTTCCCAAATTTGAACAATATCAAACACCAAATTCCTTCGTAACGTGTTTCAACATGAAGACTTTGCCAGGAAAACAGTATCTGAGCACTTGCAAGCGCAGATCCAGCTAGCCCCTGGCACATTTGTCTGCCCCACTTTCGTCAAAGGGGGCCTTTTTGTTTAATTGTAATTTGAACACACTTTCCTGACAATTTCTTATCAGTCAACATGATATTTCCCCATGTTTTTCACAAAAATTGGCAAAATGCCCAAACTTTTTCAAAACAGAAGTTCACAAAACAAAAAAAACCTCAGATAAGGAACACACATTTTAGTTCTTCGTCAATTTAATTTTGGTAATCACGAACTGCTTTTTTTAACTTCCTAAAATAAATGACAGATTTTTTAAGTTCCAAAATCTGATTTGAGTATCCCGTACTTGGTCCTTCTCTGCCTTTGTTTGAGCATCTCTCAGCATCTCCTCCATGACTCGCTGGTGTTCCTTCTCCATCCGTGTCTTGGCTTCCTCCACGGCAGCTGCTCTGTCCCTCTCTGCCTCTTGCTTCATCTTCTGTCTTCCCTGCTCCAGGATTGCTTGCAGGTTGGTGATGTCTGTCAGGTGTTTGGACTCAAGTGACTTTGTTCGCTCTGCTACTCCCTGTCCAAGATTCAAGATGGATAGGATTAGTTTCTTTGTTCTTGGTTGCACAAATAATAATGTATCTTAAGGTCTGAAACAAGTCATGGATTACAATCTCAGCTACTATGCCGAAGACAGAAGTCGATGAATAGGAAAGGTTTCGGTTTTTTTTCTTTCTTTCAAACTTACGGAATAATCTTACAGAAATAAATAGAGGGCTCCTTTGGGGTAGAAAGGAGTTTTCACAAATGATCTTGGCCTGTCTCTGCCCAAGATCATCCAACTTGGGCAGAGATAAGCAAGATAATTTGGAATAGTTTCTGTTCATGGTTGCCAAAAAAATGTTTAACGACTGAATTCAGGAATACAGTCAAAACCACAATGTTCCACTTTTTTAAATAGAATAATTAATTCACACACCCTTCCTTTCCTGAGAATTCCAAGTTGAAGCCACTAAGCTTGACAGGCAAGAGCCAAAAGTTATTGAAAATGCTCCCCAAACAACAAATCACATAATCAAGTCATTCGATCGTTCTCTAGAATCGTTATTCCCTGCCAGTAAATCAAATTAAGTAATCCTTGAATAAGTGAAAAAAAAAATGCTCGAATAAGTAATAAAAGTAGTCTTCGAATAAGTAGCAAAATTAAGCATTAACTTTATAAGGGAAGCATTTTTCTTTTATTGTACCTTTGTGATTTCTTCTTCTCCCTTTTCTTTCATCCACTCTTCTTTGACTTTTTCCCAGTCCACTTTCTCGTCGGTCCACTGTCGTCTTGCAGCCGAGATAGCTTCGTCCAGTCTCTTTTCAGGATCTGTAAAAATAAAAACCACACATGTAATGATTGTTGTATTCTGCCCCTTACCGACGTAATTTTATAAGCACTGTACGCTCAGAGGAAACAATTAACATGCCTGCTCGGGTGGGACTCGAACCCACGACCTCTTGCCTTCTTACGGAAAAGTCAGTTGGCCGATTCAAGTCTAAGGCTGTGTCTAACAGGTATCTAGAGCTATGACCATGGCTATGGTCAGCATTTGCTCACACAGTTGTAAACGACAAAGACCTAGCCAACAGCTCCAGACAAGAGATTTGGACGTGGCCTATTGCAGCAGTCGTAGATTGGACTGATTCAGTATGAATCTTAGAAGTTTTCAGTGTTTTAGTGTGTTTAAGGCCTTGTGGTTCCAAACTCGATTTGTGAGTCATAAGCCGTGTCTGAATTACTTGGCTACGGCTTGCAATTACACATGTGTCTATGGGAAGAGGCTGCAGCCGCTCCCCATAGACACAGTGCTACTTCCAGACGTAGCCAAGTCGTTCGAATGAAGCCATGATGTAAGATTAGATGGGTACTAGTCCTTTGCACACCTTCTTGCATCCACTGTTCCCTAGCCATCTCAATAGCCTTCTTCAGTTTCTCCTTGGTGCCAGCCTCGGCAGCCTTAATCCACTCAGTCTGAGCCTTAGCCACAGCCGTCTGGATAGCCCCTGCCTTGTCCATCACATGCTCAGCCTCGGCAGCCTTCATCCACTCAGTCTTAGCCTTAGCCATAGCCATCAGGACAGCCCCAGCCTTGTTCCCCTCGTGCTCGGCCTGTAGCCGCTCCTTCTGCTTGCTAAGCTGCTCTTGGTGGTTGGTTTCCAGATCTTTCTTGGCTGCATGGAGAAAAACAAAACAATTATATCTGAAGTTTTTCAAACCTTTCATCGATATTGCCAAACTTTGAAAGGACAAGTACAGTTTTATCCAGTTACTAATGAAAACTTCCTCAAATTTGAGAGAATGAGTCAATTGAAATGTTTCAATCATTGTTCAAGTGAATTAAAAAAACAGTTTGAATTTCCACTACATCAAATTTTTGAAAATTATAATAAAGTACAAGGACCCAACAAGCTAAGGCTAAACTCAGCTGAACTAAACATCCAAGTCACAGAAGGCCACGTGTGCAGGCAACATGGAGGAAACTGAATGCCTTGCAAGCTATTAAAAAAGGAACTTTTCCAACAGTTAATATAGAAATTCATCGGAGCAAACTCCTCAGAATTTGCCCGTCGTTTCCCCTCAGAGATTGCCTAGTACAAATGGCCAGAAAGTTGCCTCGTTTGAGAAGAGAGTACAACACCACACTCTGTGACATGGGTGGCGTAGTGCAAAAAACGTTTGCCTCTCACTGCTGTAGCCAGGGTTGGATTCTCAGATTCTACTGTTTTTCTCACTCTGCAAAAATCAGCACTTTCGATCGGGCTGTGCTTCGTGCTAAGACATGGGTCGTATGGTGGCTGCCTCAGGGACCTTTACATGCCTTCAGCTCGAACATGTTGTAGCTGCGTCCTTCGCAATTCAGATTCTGCTTCTATTTATTTATCTATTTTTTTCAATTGAAACCTACAAAAGTCCATCAGAACCTCAACGTCATAACAGACATAGTCAGCACACACCTTGCTCAACTCTCTGTTCCAGCTCAGTCTCCATTTTGACTCGCCACTCGGCATCGGCAGCAGTGAGGGCGCTATTCCCAGCCTCCTTGCGCGCTGCCTCGGTCCACTCAGCTTTGGCTAGGGCCAACTGTTAAATAAATCACATGACAAAAACCAATTAAATCAACTTTCATGAAAGAATATCACTGCTACACTTGGTGAGGTGTGGGTGGCAATACTATAATAGCATGCGAAGAATCACTGAAGATCTCTGTTATCTTGGAGATCTTCACTTTTGGGTTTGAGTGTTGAGTAAAATTGACTTTGCTTGATGGCAGAGGTATGGTGCATCAATTCAACAATGGTATTGAAAGGCCCTGTAAATGTTTTCCGTATTCGACAGGTTCAGAACTAGGTCAAGTATTCCTAGGTTGATTTTAGTAGCCTTTCCTTAATCTAACACTGTGACATGCTTCAAAACCCATCAGGAGCTATGGAAGAATTTTGAGAATTGAGGAAGGCACGGCCCAGCAGCATGGAACTTGATGCCTCTTGAGTAACGATTCCTTACACAGTGACTACTATTTGGGGAAGAGTGAGGGGAAATCGGTAAGGGCCGTAAAAAAAATGCCGGGGGAATTAAGTTTAAAGATGTAAATTCTACAATCTTTCCTACCTGCTCCTCTACTGTCTTCTTATTCTCCTCCTCCGCCTCTTGTCTCCAGCCGCTCTTAGCCATCACCAATTCTGCTCGGTGACTACTCTCCAAGGAATCTCTGAGCTCCTTCACGGCTGCATCATGCTGGGCTTGCCAAGCCTCCTTGGCCTGAGCAATAAAGACATGCATGGTATTACATTGTGTTACAGTGTATTACATTGTATTACAATGTATTCATTCCCTGATAACTTTAATATAAAACCATACACTACTGGACAGTTTGGGGCCTTTTAGGGAGTAGTTTGGGTGGTTTGGGTCTGTGCGGGAACTAGTTGGATAATACCCAACCATCGCAACAGACAAATTTGTGAACCACGATCACAAGTTACTACTGATGTTGTACCTCATCCACACATATCACACTTGTACTTAATTTGCGGGTAACATTTTGGCAACCTTTTGGTCAAAGGAGTATTGGTGTTCATACAACCAATACCTTAGCATCATACCACCTCAGTATTGGCTTTTCACTATGATCACAGGACTAGTCAAAGGGGGCTCAAAGCACTATGCTGTTCTCTACTGTTTAAGATGTGTAACAGTACGATTAAGTAAAGGCACTTCATCACCTAATTATACTGGGTGCGGAGAAACAGGTGCATTCAACTCTCCAAAGGGACACCTTAGTTTACGCAGAAACAACGTGGCAGTCACATTGAATAAGTTTGCCGCAAGGCTGTGGCCATAACTGCAGAGTCCCATGATCGGAGTGAAGGAACCCACGCTAAATTTTTCAAGACATCACCCCGACCATTATCATTTCTCTCACACTGCCAGATGTTTTTTCCAAATATTATTATTATTTTTTTGGGGGGGGGACTGTTTGGGGGTAAATAATGAAAAGAAAGTTTGATTTTCTCACTGCTTCTAGTTGTTGAGAAGCTTCAGCCCTCAGTGTCTTGGTGACGGTATCCTCGATCTTGTTCTTCTCTTCACACACATCAATGTAGAGTCCCTTAACCGCGTCTAGCTCCTTCTGAGCTTGCTCCAACTCCGATCTAGCACAGACACAAACCAAACTTTAATTTCTAATCCGATTATCTCAAAACTTCCTCTCATCTTCTGGGATTCCACTGGTTGCTATCAGCCGCCGTACTTCGCGTAACATTCTTGTATTCATTTTCAGTAGCTCTTCAAATAACATAAAGCCTGATTGCCTGAAGTATATATTCAATTGTTTTTCGTTTGTTAATTTTTTTGCTAATGAGGTACCACACAGGGGTGGCGGTAAGGCCAAGAAAAAAAAAAGTCGGTCTCTGGTCAGCGCGCGCGTCGATTTTTTTCATGTACGTCGATCTTTTTTTTCCCCAAAAATATTCTGCGGTAGCTCCAACAGCGCCCTCTATTTCCGCACCTCCTCAATTTTTTACCAAAGAGCACCAAGGAATGGGAAATTGCACCAAGGCAAATGATGAAAGCACCAAGGCAAATTATGGAGGACACCAATGTACATGAGGACACCAAAAAAAGCAAAGTAGTACCCCGTGTGGCCGTGTGGCCGCGTCAATTCCGGAACTTTGGTCTGACCCGAGACCAAATATATTTTTTTGGGGGGCCTAACAACGTTTTTTTTTTTTTTCTTGGGTCATAAGCCCAAAATAGGGTCGGTCGGGGAAATGAGAACCATAGAAATAAAAAGGGATGCCCTTTTAATATTTCCAGAGTCAGGTTGGCTCAGTGGCCCTTCCCAAGCCTTTCACCTCTGTTGGCCAGTTTGAACACTACCCAGGAAGACAAGCGGATAGGGTTTTTAATCCCTATTTGATTCCTTAGATTTCCCCAGAATGTTAATCTTGAATTTTCCTCTACCTCAAAAAAAATTTGACTTTTCTTCCTTTCTCTCCACAAGATTCTTTGGGTTTGCGACAATGCTACAAGTGCTATGAATCAAAGGATTGGAGTTCAGGAGAAAAGGGTTAGGGCAAAATAAGGCACTTTGAAGGCCAGAAGGAAAATCTCATCTCTTCCCAAGACTGCCATGTACTCTATATAACACAAAGTCCATGCCAAAGTTGGGAAGATTTCAGTCGTCGCTGTGGCGTACCTGAGTTCCTGCAGCTGGTGTTGATGAGCCTCCTTCAGCATGTCTCTCTCCGATTGGAACTCTGTCGCCAGCTCCTCCCTGAGATGACGCGACGAGTCCTCGTGGAGCTGAAGACATGTCTTCTGCACTCTGTCAACGGTCAATAAAATATCAATTCATCAATGATGAACCAACAAACTTTTTAATAAACTGTTTATAGTAGACACAACAATTCATATGGATCGTCTTGTTAATTTGAAATGGTGATTACTACAAGTTTACGCTGTGATTTATATGCTAAGTGGAAAAAATGGCGAGTGCAGTTTTTCTAGTTCTCTGTGTCTCCCATAGTTGTAAAAAGTCCATCAAGAGTCCAATCACAACTAAATTCATGAGTGACAACTGAAAAGGAATGAACGCTGATTAAGGAATGCCTTTGTCAAAGCTTGTTTGAAACACTGACTTCAGACTGGATGAGTTTTGATTTACCTAGGTATGACTTGTGATGACTAATTCACAACTCTGTGATTTTGCCTGTGCTCAACTGTGAGCACTCTGGGCCCAATTTCACGGCGCTGCTTAACAGTTAGCAGAAAAGCTGTGTTTAGCATAGCAGAAAAATTTGCTAACCTTAAGCACTATTTCACGGCGTTTGTGTGCTAACGGTCGCGCGTGCATGGAGATTTCTATTGTTACGTCACTAAGTTAAGCAAATTTTTCCTCGGAAGTAAGCGTGCCTTTTGCTGTGCTTATGCTTATGGTCTCCATGAAATAGACGGAGACTCTGTTAGCAGAAAATCGTGTGCTTACCAGCGCCGTGAAATTGGGCCCTGCTCATTATGTACGAAGGAGAGAGCCTTTCCTTACCTCTCCAAGTCAATCTTCTTATCCTGATCCCACTCTGTCACCATCTGTACCATCTGTTTCTTCAAGTCCGAGTTGGCCTCATTCAAGCGGCCCTCCTCCGCCTTGAGTGCTTCCAGCGTCTTGCTCATATCTTCCTTCTCCGTCCGCAGTTTGTCAATCTCATCTTGGAGACGTCTGGATGTGGCTCTTTCGGCGTGGGTGAAGCCTTGGTAGTCTCCAGCTGGGCTTCCAGGACCTTAAATCGAACCTGTTCATGAAGGAAGCAGTCTTGCTTGAAATGACAACAACCCTCAATAAACTCAAGAGACTATCTGACGGCTCTATTTAAGGGTTCACAGACACATTTTCAGAAGCAAATTTATTTTGTCAGCATTCATAAAACCGGACCCAGAATTTTAACTCTTCAGTGCGTGTTAAAGTGGGCACAATTTCACTCACTCTCATACTATTTATTATGACTGAAGCAGCGAGACTGATTGGGTGAGATAGGAGAAAAACCAAAACTCCTGAAGTAATTGGCAGAGGGTTTGGGGGATGCCGAGGACCGAAAAAGCAACATAGGGTATAAGATATCTTTGTATCTGTCTAAGGCTCCACGTAAAATACACATTTTTGAGTGTTACATAAACCTTTATAGTAAATGACATCTTTATGGTAAGATCTCAGGAATTCCAAATTTCAAGAGGGACCTTTAACAAATCCTGGCATTGATCTGTAAGGCCAAAAAAAAAAAGTCGGTCTCTGGTCAGCGCGGAGCGTCGATTTTAATCATGCGCGTCAATCTTTTTTTTCCCAAAATGTTCCGCGGTAGCTCCAACAGCGCCCTCTATTGCCGCACCTTCTCATTTTTTTTTACCAAAGAGCACCAAGGAATGGGAAATTGCACCAAGGCAAATGATCGAGAGCACCAAGGCAAATTATGGAGGACACCAATGTACATGAGGACACAAAAAAGCAAAATAGTACCCCACCTTGTCTGTACAATCCAAGCTTGAAGAAAAAAAAAAAAGCAAAAAAAAAAAAAAAAAAAGCTGCGTCCCCGCGTCAATTCCGTAACTTTGGTCTGACCAGAGACCGAATATTTTTTGGCCTAACCTTGTTTTACCTCTTTATCCTTGGCAGTAGTCTCCATGCCCAGCAGCCTAGTCTTCCCTGCCTCCAGATCCGTCCTGGCTGCCCTGAGGTCTGCCTGCAGCTTGGAGACCTGTGCGCGCTTGGTGCGGTTACTCTGCAGGGAACGCTCCAGCTCCTTCCGCAGGCCCTGCACCAGGTCCTCCGGGGACAGCTTGGGGGCCGATCTGACGACGACCTGAAATCAAAATGGTAGGATGCCGGACTCCGTGAATGAAGAGCATTGAGAGCTCCTTGGGAGACACAATCGCTTGAGCACACTGGTTCATGTGGACATGGTGCACAAACTTTTTTGCTCCGTTCGTGCTAGCATGAGCACCAGGAGAAAGGGCTCCGTGCACAAGTACCCCCTCAACGGTTACAAAGAGAGAGTTGGGGGAGACCACTGGGAGAGACACTCGAATGCACCGCCGACGACGCCTGATGCTAATGTGAAGACGCTATGGCTTTGTGAACCAGTATGTCCTTTCCATTGATGTTTGCGAGCACGTTCCCTATGACCTTATGTCTAATAGGTTACAAATCCCCTCTCTCCAGCAAAGACGTGATCATATCTGTTTAAAGTTTGGTAAAAACCTTCTCTCATCTCATAAATACCGTGACTGGCTCCCACCCAAAAGATCAAACAATCTCCGCAATACCAACACCCTGTCAATCCCTCGATGTCGAACCAACCGATACAAGAATAGTGCAATCCCATTCTTAACCAACCTTCTGAATACCAACTAAGCTTTATGTTTCATATCCTGGTGTGATATTTATCCTCATTTATTAATTTTTTTTTTGTAATCTGAGCAATCTATTTCTCCATGTTTGTTTTCCCAACTTTTTTTGTCATTTTTTTTTTTAAACTCTTTCATTGTGTACCTCCATTCTTGTTGTTACATGCATTATTTTTTAACTCCCATTATAATTTTTTACCGGTCTTGTAATTATTTTTATTGTAATGCATACAGTTTTTACCTCTGTCTATTTTTAAAATGTTTTTAGTGTAAACCTGCCCACAATTCAGCCTTCGGGCTGCAATGGGAGAGTAAAATAAAACCATTTAATAATTTAATAATAATACATAAGCCCCAAGGACCGACACACAAAGGGAGAACAACAGATCCTTTAAGTCCTCGGGCATTGGGTCCTTTGTTGAAAACAGTCCTCTGTAATAGGTTCGTGTGCTTAGTCTAGGGGGAGAGTTTATATTACAGGGACAAAGGGAAACACAAAGCATTGTCCTTGGGAGCATAGTAAAACAAGAGTGTCTGCGCATGATGTGTGTCCTGTCCACTCGGCTCTCGAAAGTGTTTAAAAAGCGCCCTCTCTTGTTCGCGCATACATGGAGCCATAGTGGCAATGCTTTTAAGTCATTTCTGTTTTGCTGGCCTGAAGTTGCGGTTAAAAGTTTACGAAATCTTTTTGAGTAAACTGTGAGAACATTTCATGGGATACACGATATCTAGAAAATCATGTTCCCTTTAGGACTTTAATCTGATTGTAATGGAAAAATGAAAGACTTAAAAACGAAAAATATGGAGCGCATTTTACCTGGAACTTTGTGGCGTCTTCCAGTCAGACTTGGCCAGGTTCCTGACAGCGAAGGACTTGGATGTGTGTATAGATTCCGGTGACTTGGTTGCCATGACGCCCAGCTCCATGGCCGACTCGTACATCTGCAGCTGCTCCTTCATTTCTGTGAGTTCCTCCTGTATCAACAACATATGCAAATTACCATCAACTGAAGTAGAATTGTCTGATTGTAAAATTCAATAGCCATTAGCACAAAATGTTTTTGTTTGGCTGATGATAAGAAGAGCCATTTTATTGGGTCCAAGATACCAGCAAAAATGATATTTGTTATATCGTATACGTGGATACTGTAATTTCAGTGGTTGAGAAAGGAAATGTCAAAGGCTTGTAAAATACCTCTCTGGATCTTTAAGTATTAAGCAAAACTCATCATTCAAAACACAATACTCTAATAACAAATAAGCGAAAATGATTTTTGTTTTCCTGACCGTAAGGCGCTGGTCATGTCTTGACTGAAGGTGCGAGCGGCAGTAGCCTCCTGGAGCTGAACTCGGAGTAGGTTGATCTCCTGTAGAGAGCTGGTACAAAAAGCCAAAAAAAAAAAAAAAAATATTTTAAAACTGCAAAACTGCCAAGTGCATTTCAAAAGGATATTGAATGTTTAAGGTTGCCACAACTTTTGTTTATGTCAGACTAATTGTTCAACTTTCATGCATCACCACCGAGCAAGAGAAGGGTGAAGATCAGATTTCTGTCAGGTAACTATTCTGCACCGGGGAAATCAGGAGTTACATCTGTTTTCTGACTTGTGTTCCAGATGTCACGTCGTCTTTTATTATGAAGATCTGAATGAAGTACATGAAAATTTTGATGTCTGAAAACAAGAGCATCAACTTCTGAAGATCATCTGTTGTAGTCGTTTGGAATGACCCCATAGTCTACTTAAAATTAATACATATAAAATTACCTGTTTTCGACCAGAATCTATTTGGGATGACCTGAGTCGCTCCTAATGTTATCCAGCATGCCAAATAGGGTGTAAATCATTTGATTAGTTGTACAAGCATTACATTCACTGTGTGGACTTCCGAACAAAAGAGGTCCACATAAACCAGGTAGCAGCGACGTTGTGTGGACTTGCCCACGTCCACACAATGTTTCCCTCTCTCTTGAAAACAGCTTTAGATGCGTATT